TGCAATTGCAAGGCAGGCAGCAGAACCACTGAGCTAAATCCCCAACCCTACCTTTTGATATGTTTAAAGGATATAAAATGGAAAAGTAGGATCTCCAGGGTAATGCAATGGTTTTTATTTTTATTTATTTTTTTTCCTATGAAAAAATAGAAGTCTGTCTCTCTTTCTTTAAGTGGCCTGACAACACCCTGAAGGGCACCACTCTTATGAAGAAAATATGATGGAAAAAAGGCATAAGTGAGACTGTTCTCAGCTACAAACCTATGAACAAACTGCAACCAACTTTATAATTGGATCCCATCTTTTGTGAGAATTAAACATATCAGTCATGTAATGCATCAGTTATTCATAATAATTCTAATCACGATATTTCATATACTCTACAAAATGTATTTTGTGTATCTTCCCCTTGAACAGGTTGGAAGCATTTCACTTTTTCTCCAATAGTCTAGAAAAACTGAGTTTTCTTTGAATGGTGGTTGTTAAGTCGTTCACACCCACTTAATTTATATTTTCGATCAAAAAATGTAGTATTAATCATTTCTTAACCACCTGTTAAATAAAACAAAATTATATAGACCTTTATTTGTTTTTTCAGCTTTAATTGAGTTTATTGGTACCTTTTAGGGATACAGTACAGTTACATTCATTGTTGGGATCTTGTACCTCTGCATGACAGGGCTTGGTTCTCATTTTTTCCCCTTACCCCTGCCCTCCCTTCACCCCTCCTTCCCCTCCCCATCTACAAATACTTTTTTTCCATTTTTCATTATCTCACATTTTTTCTTTTCCCTTATTACCCTTCCCCTATCCATCCCACCTTCCCTACACTTTTAGCCCCTTTCTTCCCATTTCACAAGGTCAGTAATCCTATTAGGATCTTATGTACTATTGCAGTTTATTCACACCAGAGAAACTATTCGGTATTTACACATGTGTGACTTATTTATTTCACTTAGGAGTATATCTTCAATATGTATCCATTTTCCTGTGAATGAATCTGTTTTCTCATTCTTTATGGCTGAGTAATATTCCATTTTATAGAAAAACCACATCTTCCTTATCCAGTTTCCAACTGATGGGCAAATGGGCTGTTTCCAAGTTTTAGCTATGTGCACCCATGTTTATAGCGGCACAGTTTGTATATGGACCTTTATATTCATCAGTCCATTCTCACCTATAGGCATTTAGACATGTCGCTTCTGTCCTGAGGCCCTGGAATTCAGTCACTGTTATTTTTTTTTTTTGGCCTTCATATCATAGATTTATTAGTAACTTAACTATAGACCTTACAGTCTGTTCTATTGTTGCTGCTGCCACTAGTCACCACTATTTCATGAATATCATAGCATGCTCAGTCATCAAATCATATGTTATTTTAGTAGTGTGCATGTTTATGTGGTTCTTTCAAGGAAGGCCAGATACTTGAAGTATCTGTTTCCCCTTCATTTCCAGGCCAGCATGACAGTATTTCTGCATATATTTCACTCAGTTCTCTCGAGAAAGTTTATTAGCCATGCCTTTTGTTAAACCTCAAGTTAGAAGTTACAAAATAACAGTTTTGATCTTTATAAGAATTTTTTAAATAATAGGACATCATATATGAGTAAATAGTACTGCTAAATGTTCCTAGAGTTATAGGGTGTTTTGATAAAATCTCAATATTGCATTAGAAAATCATAAGGCCACACAATAAATCAGTTCTTGTAACGAGTATCTTTAGAAATGTTCTTTTAACTACCACATTTAATAAAATAACAGATACTTTTAAAGCTGAACATTTTAATTATCACCTGAAAGATTGTTATAAGGAGATAAACATGTGGATGTCCTCTTCAACAAACTGACAGTTTTCATACTCAGAATACTTTAGCAGCAGTAATCATAGTTAAATTATGTCAAACACGAAATTAGCCTAAATCACACATTTTCATTCATTTATGAATTTCCCCTCTGAAGTGGGATGAACACAATTAAATCTCTAATAGGAAGGGTAAGCCATAAAAGGACTTATGCACAAGAACTCCAATTTTGTTAAACTGCCAAGGACAGACAAGCAATAGATTTTATTGAAGAGATGGTGATAAAATAGCCGTTTGCCTTATCATAGTCCTTTATGAGTTTATTCATCAATATCTTGCAACTAAATATGATTTAATGTGTTTCTTCTGCACATGTTCTTCCAGGATTTAGATCCTGACTTCGTTCTAATATGGGATACATATTCAAAAGCAACATATGCCATGTATGCTAAATACAATGAGAGTAGAAAAAATATTTGAAATAATGGTAGCAATGATGGGGCTTTTCTATATCTATATAGTACTATGTGACAAGCACTACCTTAGGAGCCTTCTAATGTATTATTACAATTAATAACATGACAAGAAGTACTGTTCATTACCATATTTTTAAAGATAGAAACTACACCTCTGAGGCTCAGTAATTGTGACACTTAATCTTGACTGTCAACTTGATTGGTTTGAAAAATGCCTAGGAGGTGAGTTTCTGCCACCTTTCATGTTACCACATGGAGGAAGAAGCTTTCTACCCTTGTAAACCCTTGGGAGATGGATTCAAGCCATAATCCAACCACCCAAGTCTGGAAGTGAGCTTTGCAGAGATTAATATTTGAGAAGAATTATTCTAGCCCTACACAAAGCTATGATGCTTCTGTGAAAAAAGTAAAGAGATCTAATGGGATCAGCTAACACACACACACACACACACACACACACATTATATATATACATACATACATTTTTTTTAAATCAGGAATCAAACTCAGGTCCTTACGATTGTGAAGAAGGCAGCAGAACCACTGAGCTACATCCCTGGCTATTTTTACATTTTATGGAGATCTTTTAGATGATGGATTTGGAAGACAACCCACTGACTTCATCTCCTGCTTTGTCACTTTGCTGTAAGACTTGGTGATCACTGCTTTACTTTCTGTCAGTTTCTTTATCTGGCAAGGGGAAACAACCATAGCATCTGGCTTAGAGTTGGTTTACTTTAAACTGGGTAATATCTGCAAAGATTAGACAAGTGACTAGTTCTCACAAGCGGCCAGGGGTAACTGAACTGAATTATTTCACAAATATTCTCCATCTCCTATAAGTTCGCACCTTTGGTTTCAAACTTCAAGTTACTATGTCCTTCTTGTAAGAAAATATATGTAATTAACTAATACTTTGATCATCGTTAAAGTCTCTGAGTTTTTAATTCAGGCTTTTCTTCTCTTCTTGTCTTTTTCTCTTTCCTTTCTTCCTCCCTTTTTGTCTTTTTTATTCTTTTCATTTTCCCAAGTTAGATGCCTCTTTTTCTCTCTCCACCCTACCCACAACTGTTCTTTACGGTATCAGCTCTGGAATATTTTGAAAGAAATGTGGAAACGTCTGGCTCTGTTTTGTGATCCTGTTATAAGCCAAAGCTAGAAGTATGAGTAGTACTGCAGCATCTCAGAATTAAATAAATACACATTATACATACCCAGTGGGCTAAATCCATTATTCCTTTTAGAGTGGAACGTGTCCGTGGGAACTTGGAGAGAGAGAGTAAAGCAAAGCCAACAATAGCCTGGGCTTTGAAGTTGGGAGTTGGGGCTGCAAAGCCTAACTCTGCAAACCCTCACTGCTCACGAGGCCAACAGTAAGTTTCCTAATTGCTGTGAACATTAGGTTATTCGTCTGCAAAGCCTTTCACAGCTCCTGCATATGTTCCAACACAATGCGTGAAAAGTGCTTAGCGCAATTCCTCATTCTCGGTAAAATCTTAGAAATGCTAGCTCTCCTCCTCGCCCCTTTTAGTGTTAATAACAGTACTTCCTACTCAGTGAAGTAGACAAAGACAACTCACTCTCAAAAGGGCAAAGCCTAGATAAACAACACCAACTCTTCTTAAAACTAGATTTTGCCCTTTTCTCCTAATCTGTGGTCCCTTTGTTGATCTTTTGATTGAAATGCTTTCTCCTTTGCACACTACTCCTTCATCTCACCTTCTTTTTTCTTTTTCTCCTCTCATTTCTTCTTTCCTTTAATCTGCTTTTCCTTCTTTCCACTTCATCCAATGCTTTTAAGTTTTTTCTTGTTTCTAAAAAACTTGAGTTAAAATTTTCCATGTTTTTCTAGGAAAAAATTAATTTTCTGTGTGGATGTAATACTTTATGTGTTATGCGTGCGAGCTGACAGTTTTGATATTTTGGAGATTTTCAAATATTCATAAACAGATCACCCATCTTCAGTCACAGACTCATATCCATGGCTAAGAAGTTTCCATTGTCTCAATTAGATAAAAATAATATCTCTTGTTTTAATGCTTTCACAATTTCATTGTTATACCCTTTTCTGTGTTATACCATATTGTAAGAGACATTAAAACTCTATTTTTCAGAATACTTGGTATCTTTCTAATAAGTAATTTTATTTTACCTTCAGGTATTTTTATACTCTTTTCTTTATACATATTATGTTCAAGAAAATCTGGTACTATATTTGTGTAAATCTAATTCAATGTTTTTAGTACTTAGGATTAACTCTTTATCTAATTTTTAATGGATGATGGGTAAAAATATCCACCTAATTGTAGTTTTCTCCTTTTTCACTTGTGTGTGCATTTTTTTTTCTCTTGGTACCTGGGATTGAACTCGGGTATGCATTTGTATAGGCATTTTTAATAATTAGAGTAAAATGTGTCATTTCATATTATAAAAATAAATATGTAAGATGAATTTCTATAGAAAATGTCATCCTCATGTCCTTAGTTTTATGAGGAAAACGTCTGTTATACTCTCCATTTATTATTTGTGGCTAATAATTCTAAAAAGCTCCAAATTAAAACCAAATGGCTTCCTAGGCAACAAGAGGTGAAATAAGCGCTAGCGTGTGGTGTAGAACTTTTGCTCAGCAGGACAAGCAAGGAATTCCCCTTGGGCTTTGCAGAGGTTCTTTCTTAAGCAACAAACATCCCAATGTATATTTAAGGTAAGTAGAGAAATTTTTGAATAGGAAGGAATCTTCCTTTGCTGCTGTCACTCTGCTCTCTGAATGCGCCCTGGCATTCCTCAGATCCACCTGAAATCAAGAGCAGTCACTTGAGTGAGTGAACCACTGCTTTACCCATAGAAGGCGATAACATATTTTGTGTGATGCTTTATTAAAAGTATTGTTAATCATGTCATTAAAATAAAATTAGATAATGAAATCAAGTAAAAATCTATTGGAACTTGTGTAGAACATCTAAAAACAATGACTAACCTTTTAAACTACTGTTTCCACCACTAGGATTCCCTCAGGACTTTTCAGGTAGCTCTGTTTTGTAATTATGCAGAAATCATCCACCAAAAGCCTTGCCTATTTTGCTTTCCCTGTCTCTCAGAAGCAAAATATCATGGTTAAGTATTAACGCCCCAACTTAGCAACACTTCCTGTAAATAAAGGAAATGGTATCTCATCTCAAGTGCTTCACAGCTACTGCTAAAGCAGTGGAAAATCTGCAGAGGAAATCTTTTGAAATTAATCAGCAGCAGCGTTGGGTGGAGCCCTGTAATAAGTCCTCACTTTTTTGCATTAGTTCTTTAGTCAAGAACTGTGAGACCAGTGCCAACTTGAATGTTGTGAAATGCTGTTCATAGAAAGAAACATAATTTGGTCTTGTATAAGAATTATATATATATATATGGATCACATTTCCATGTGAATTACATAGTTAAAATGGCAATAATAAATACCCACATTAAAAATAAATCATATCACTGTTTATGGTGCTAAATACTACCATTGTATAAAATATTTAAATGATTCCTTTCTCCAGCTATATCTAAGTCTTCCAAAGAAGGAAGTAAAAAAACCATTTATTCTATTATTAAAAATATTGAATACAACTTTTGACAAATTGAGTTCTAATATAAAGCAGGAATTTAAAATTAAACTTTAAAATATATGATTTTTTCTGAAATTTTCAATTGTATAAATGCCTACATCCCTTACCTAATATTTCAATTGCTTAATAATGGCAAATATACTAAAGGTAGTATATCTATTTTTAAATGTGCATTTGAATTATACTGAAGAATGTCCTTGAATGTTCATCTATGAATGAGGTTTGTATAGCTGGATCACCTGTTAGAAATGTGTGTCTAATTATGTCTATTTCAACTTCCCAGAGAATGCTGAGTATAGATAAATCTGAACTCTCAGAAACTGTATTATAGTTGTCCAGAGAAACAAAACGAATAGGATTGAAGATCTTTCTACAAAGGATTTATTCTAGGATTTGACTCAAGGCTAAGCACTGCATGCTCTGCTGTTGGCAAAACTGGGACTGTCAGTGGTATACTTCAATCCGAGTACACAGTTCTGAGAACAGGGCAGCTGAGCATGTATGCTCTGGTCCAGGATTAAGGTCAGCAGATGCTGGATGACATCGTTCAATTAGAAACAACAAGTCCACCCTTTATTTGCCTTTCTGTTCTACTCACATCTAAAGACGGAATGCTGTTCACCCCCATAGATCAAGGCCCTCTTCTTTACTCAGTCTATGGATTCAAATGCTAATCTTTTCCAGAAGTATATTTACAGATATGCCCAGAAAAAAACAGTTATCAGCTATCCAAACATCCCTCAGGTCAGGGAAACTGATGCATAAAATTAACTATAACAAATCCCTACAGTTCACATAGCATTCAGGTAAAAGACAAAATTCTTCCAAGTTGGAAAAATGCAGTGTGCAGCGTTTAGGAAAACATTAAGTGACTTTTTAGGCTTTTTCTGTGAAAAAGAAAAATACATATTTCTTCTTCATGTTATTGCAGGTTATAACAAATCAGTTTGTAACACTGAACCATAGTAATGCTACTTTCACTAGGGCACAGGATTTATTCTTTGACACCAAAATCTTGAAGGTAAAAGCTAAAACCCACTTGGTTTACTGTAGCAATTCCCACAGAAGTTCTTTTACTCAGAATAGCTGAAAGATTTGTTGAGATCATAGATCTTTCTATGGAAAACCAATTGTCCCCAGATGCATGCGGTTTAAAACTTAGACTGTTCTGAAGATGGCCAATGATCGACTCATTGCCATTTACTGACCAAGTCTATCTCCTCACTACCCTGACTTAGCAGCATTTAGAAAGCTGATCATGCTTTCTCTCCAGAGGCTGTTCTGTACTTGGGTTCAGATGCAACACAATCTCTTTGTTTTCCTCGGCATTCACTGAAGGTTCCTCAATCACGGTGACTTGAGTATTCCTAAATCTTTCCAATTTATGAGTGGTGAAGAGGTTTAAGAATCAGTTTTTATCCCCTTTTTCTAGCAGCATTTACCCTCTAAGCTGTTTTGTCATATGGAGTTCAGTGCCATCTCTAGTATGACATTTGTCACCTGTGCACATTTGATCTAGATCAGTGATTGTGAACCTTGTAGAGATGAGTGCCCACACCCAAAACCCGCTAATTTATCACAAAGTGCCAATCCAATACTCAGTTAAACCTGAACACTGAGATTTTTGTTTAGAAAAAACAACTCATACATTATGTTTTGTATTAAAAGAAAAACAACACCCATGCCATAGGTTCACCACCACTGGTCTAGATCACGGTCCCGATTAGCATATGCAAATATCATATGTGCGTGATATATTAGCATATAAATACGTAGCTGACATTTTCACTGGGATATTTAATATGCACCACAAGCTCAACTAGTTCAAAATTAAAACTCTGTGCTCTTTTGCCAAATTTTTCTTTCTACAATCTCCATTTAAAGTCTAGTGCCTCCATTTTCTGGTTGTTCAAGTCAAACACTATGGGTTAAGCTTTGATTTCTTCACTCCGTCATAATCACAACCCTTACTGAATCTTGTCTGCTCTCCCTTACAGGTATCTCTAGGATTCAATGGCTTCTCAGCTGACTTTATCACTTCATCTCCTGACCTAGATTATTTTGCTTGTTTCATAATAGGCACAATAAATGTATTTTGAATTTACACTTAACCATTTGAAAATGTGTCAGATAACTCTTTTTCCTACTTCATTTCCTCCAGTGGCTTCTATACTTTGAATGGCCCTGTATTTTATTTCTCATGTTTCATTGTCATGAGGTCACACCTTCTATAAAATATCTTTATGATTCAAAGGTTCTTTTGAAACCCAGGAGTTCTCTTTCACAAAATAGATGGGTTGTACTTTGCCTGAGACATGTTTTTAGTATGTAGGTCTCCTCTTATAAAATACGTTCTTTCTACTATTTTGTATGAGTCATTTTATGATACAGAAGTAGAATTTGGGTTAAACGTGAATAAGTTTTTTTTTTTTTAATTCTTGTTTGCCCAAGGATCAAGGTGAAAATTTCTACCTTTATTATTACCAAGAATTAGTAGGCTGTGATGTTAAGAATGATATAATTGAGCTGCAAGAAGACAAATGAAGTGCCCGTGTGTAAACACGCCCTGAAATTACTATATATGGGATGGTCCAGAGGCTGCACATAGAATTTGTTTGTCTGCTAAGAACACTGGCTAGACAAGGTCTCTAAAGTCTTGAAGATACACTTTTTGAAGTCAGATCATGATTGAGTCTCATGACCACCGAGCCTAATGTGTGATGCAAGGTGGAGGGAGAAATCAAAATATTATGTAGATCATTAGCAGTTCTCACTTCAGAGGCTGAAACTCTGCCACACGAAGTTAATGCACCTTACAGGTTGAAGGACATCAGGAACATTCAAAGTGACTGAAGAACGTGTGGAGAGCCATCTCTACTCATGTGCTTCAAGTTTAGGGCAGGCGCTTAGAGTTCTAGGGGAAACTTACTTTGTGCCACTATAGTAGAATGAGTGAGCATACGAAATATCATGTTTTTCTGTATTAAATTTATAGTGGGAAAGATGGGATTCAGCAGCAAAGCATGAAGATTTGTTAAAGAAATATTCAATGCAAATGGATATAAATGAATTTTTAATGTCTGGTTCTGAGCACAAATACAGGAAGAATATAAAGCAGAATTAAAGTTTACTATGTGTTAAATTCCTTTGGTTTCAGACCTCAAAGCTTTCCAAGGCCAGCAGACATAGTATTTACAGACCTGCACAGCTTCTCCTATTTCAAGGAAAGGTGGTGCTTGTCACAGAAGGTAAAGTAAAGCCTGGCAAATGAACATCTGAGGACATGCTGCTCTTCCTGAGACTTGGACAAGGGGACTTATGAATAAAATGCAATCAACTACTTGATAGGGTGAGTCCCTCCATGTTGATTTCCTGGAACCCTACTTTGTAAGCCATAGTGAATTTCAAGCACAGAGTATTCATAATCATGCTCCACTGTTAACCCAGGGCCCAGGGGAGATGAGCTAAATCATATCTGGCAATGTTGTAGGCAGCCCCAAAGTATCCACCACCTCCAAGAACAAGCACATAAAGGTTTGAATGGATGAGTGGATTATGTAATAAATACATGAGGAAAGAAATGAAGGGTGCAATACCCCTAATGATCTCACAGCCTATAAAGGGAAGAGGAAGGCAATAAATAACTGTGGCAAGTTACACGCTAAAAGTAAGTCCGGAGTAGTATATTATATCACAAAAAATGGGGCCTGGCTCTTCCTAAAAAAATCACTGAAGGAAGTCTTCATGGAGCGGGTAACAGAGGGTAACGCTTGAATTATCAGTCAACTGTTCACAAATGCATATGCTTATTTGCTACCTCCTTAAATAGTACTGCTTCGTTCTGCTTCACTAGTAATTCATTCGACCATACCTAAGCCCGTCACACAGGTTAAAAAATTGCCTTTATTATTATTTATTTTATATATATAATGAGGGCAAGTTCTCTCACTACAATTACTAATTCGGACCACAAAAAAATTGCCCTGAAATACCATTAAAATGAGGGATATTTAAATTTATTCTTTCTAGAAAATGTGTTGCTTCAATAGAATGGATTTATCTACATTTCTACTAACGTGTCAGACTCTAGCTTCTGTTCCTGACTTTGAGTTTAAGACTAAATGTTAGCTGACATATTGGAATTTTAAAAATTGGTTTCATTGTAATTATTTTGTAAATATAAACAATTAAATTAGATCAATATACATATTCATAAGTCTTCCAAATAAAAACATATGCTTAATTGCTATGCTTTGTAATGTAAAAATGGGCATAATATCTTTTGAAAAGGAAAGACTCATACTGAACCAAGAAGAAAGCAAAATAATTTCTAACAAATACAGGTGTGAAAATACTAATTTGAAAAGTCTGGCTGAGGGTGTAGCTCAGTGGTAGAACCTGGCATGAATGAGGACCTACGTTGTATGACAAACTGGAAAGAAAAAGCTACACCTCATAGTAAAAAGATGATTAAAGGAAACATTTCTGATTGGGAATAAAAGAAATATGAGGCATAAGCGAAAAGATTAAAATGTAAATTTTTTGTCTGTTTGTTCATTTGTTTTGTTTTTTGAGACAGGGTCTCACTATGTATTTGAGACTGACCTGGAACTCACTATGTAGCCCAGGCTGGTCTCGAACTCACAGCGATCCTCCTGCATCAGCCTCCTGAGTGCTGAGATTACAGGTGTGCACCACAATGCCAGGCTAAGATATAAATTTTAATGTAAAAGGTAAAAATTTTAAATGTAGAAGGCACATATAGAAAATGAAGACCTTAAACACTCTGTTCTGCCAGTGTTTCACTGGAGAGTTGTTAGCTATTATATATTCTATTTCACTTCTCCCAGATTTGAATGCAGAAAGTAAAGTTGGAAAATACAGTATTTAAGAGCTCCTATATGTCTACATTTTGCATAATCTCTTATTAGACAAAGTAATGACTTCTTGATACTTTTATTTAAATTTTAGCAAGTAAGTGGGGTCTCTCCAATGGTAAATGCACTTGGGAGTGGCAAAGGTAGACTGAGTATCCTTAAGATTTTGTACAAAATAAAAATGCTAAGTCTAAAACTAAGCTTTCTATTAGATGTCACATTTTCATTCTTGAGTTTTAAAGTCTGATTTTCTACAAGATGCACCCACCTAGGAAAATACTTCTGTCTATACTCAAGGTAGACAATGCTACAAGCAACACATGATTAGAAATTAACCAACTTTTATTCTTGCATTTTTTCCACTTAGTCCAAGCATCTGCAAGAAATAAACGAATATGTATTGGTCTTTATTTTGTCCTAGGACTATTACAGTACTTTCCTACAGTGCCATCCTACTTTTAGAGTCTGTTGACGCTGGTGCCATTGTATTTACACTTATTCTTTTCACAGAGAGGAATAATGAAGCATAATGAGGTGGAAAATCTTGCCTGAGGTTATACAGAAAGAAAAGGAAAAAAACCAAAAAAACAGTATTTAAACATTGCCAGTTTGGTTACAGAGTTCAATCTTTTTAACCAGATGTTTCTTCAATTTGAGTTAATGACTTTCATTTTTTACTTGAATTATTACTTGTATTCTTAGGGTATAAATGCCACCAGCTGCTTTGCATATTTTTAGCTACAGAGGGGTCTATTCCCAATACCCAAGCCCAATACCAGGGCTTATATCATGTACACTCGGAGTTTTCCAAATATTTAGCACAACCATTCTTTTTTACTTTATATCCTGTTCCCTTATTGACTACATAAAACCTTAGTTACGTTTCGGTTATTCCTCCTTTACCGGATGTGACGTGTATCACAGCCTCTTCTCTACTCTCGGCAAGGGAAACCTACAAACACATTGCCTGTGCTGCACATCAGCTGCCCTACGGTCATGGAGAAGACTGACACTGACAGAAGATGGAAGGGTAGGCAGAAGGAGGAGGTTCTATTTCCCATGTGCTGGGAGCAGGGTGCGTAGTAACAGGGGCAGCTACAGAAGGCTGGCACCATATGCGTCAGGCTGCAGCTGCAGCAACGCCAGCCTTCGGGACAAAGGGTCACGGCTCAGGGACACAGGACTGTGGACTACGGGTAGTGAGATCGGCCCTGCTGCTTCTACAGTTTTGTGGATTAGCATTGGGCCACTGTTCTGAATGTCCACCTCATTGTTTTAGCTTTTCAACTTTTTAAAATCTTAGTCGGCTATTCCTAGTATAAAATTCTCCTGGTTTACTTTGCTCTGGTTGGATATTGATTTGCTATACCTCTCCAAGGATATATACTGATTTTTGTGACTAAATCTGACTCTGATCTGTCTTTGACATGGGGAATATTCCAGTATGAGACCACCTCCTACAGTAGGGTTCCTCTGTGAATGAGGAATCGCCATTCTCTCCTGCTCATTTGCATTCATTTAAAACTCAAAGGGTGACTAAATTATAACCCAGTGGTGGAATGGTTCTCTGTCTGTTAACCGCAGCATCCCACTGCAGTTGAGACAGGACACATTACACTCACTCATTTATTCCCACGCTTAACAAATATTTCCCATCCCTACTGCGATTTCCTCAAGTCTTCAGGGAAAGAGTGATAAGACAGCCAAATATACTTTTGTGACACCTACTTTCTATTTTCTGGGGAAGCAGACATTTTAAATAAGTAAATATATTCATAAGCATTCTTTTCCATTCCTAATTCTGTTATACTAAACAGAATGCTTTCTACAGTCTTTGTCTCCAGAAATCATAACCTTGGACTGGCTTTAAAATATCGGACAGACACAAATTGAAGGCATTCTTAGGATTCTGACCAGCACTCCTCAAAACCGTCAAGACCAAAATATGTTAAATGTGTGTATGGAAATGCCAGAATGAAAATAAATATTTTGTAAAATTAATAAGCACTCATTAAAAAAAGAAAACAGGAATGAGATATAGGGAGCAGCCACTACTCACATGGCTGAAAAGGAGCAAACAGCTAAGACAGACTGGGAGGAAGTCCTTTCCCTCAACACCAAGGAATGAAAATTTAAAACCCGAAAACCAAAAAACCAGCCAATGAACAACAACAACGGATGACGAAAACAAAAACTGTCAAGATCTTTAAAAACAATTCAAATCACAGTTTAAAAGCTTCTCTTTGACAGTGATTCTTTCATTTTTTTTAAAGGAGAAATCCTACTCTAATAGAGGCATCAAATAACACATATTATCATAGATTCTGCACGTCGGACTAAAAGATCTGTTCTTGTTACATATTTCAAAGGAAGAATTTAGTGGGCTGGGGATTTAGCTCAGTGGTTCCACCACCTGCCTTGCAAGCACAAGGTCCGAAGTTTGATCCCCGGTACCAAAAAAAAAAAAAAAA